GAATCAAACCTCACAAACAATGTTAACCGCAAGAAAGCTAAATATAAAAACCTAATTAGAGAACTGGATCAAAACTTTACATCTGTCAAATTTATAAATCTTTCTGTCAGTTCGCTAGGGGTGTTTGACAATGAATGTCATACATTCGTAAAAATGCTAAATGAGTTAGGACTGGATAATCAACACCAACAATATTGTATCAGAAAAATTATATCTATTGCCATCCGATCAACGTACTACATATTTTGCTGTAGAAATAAAGAATGGACAAATCCCGAACTAATGAACATTTAAAGTAACTATTTCTGTAAATAAGTAAATTTTTTGTATATAAAATTATAACCATGCACGTATAAGTGATTCAAGTAGTCAATTGTAGGTTACCTCAAGAAGTGAGATTTACAATTGTATATATCTATAAATGTTCTATTAATAAAGTTTTCATTATTATTATTTAAACTTATTTAAAAACGGTAGCCCTTCAGCACAAAGAAACTGATTTTCAATGGGTCGTTTGAATACAATATTAAAAACCTATTATACACACTAATACTTAACTAATACAAACACACTAAATAATATATACAGTATATACATATATATATATATATATATATATATATATATATATACATATATATATATATATATATATATATATATATATATATATATATATATATATATATATATATATATATATATATATATATATATATATATATATATATATATATATATATATATATATAAGTAACAAATCAGGATTAGAAGCAGCATTGGCTACCAAGAATACTTTTAAATTAATTAATCATTATGCCCTGTTCTTTTGCTGAAATTGGCAAGCTATTCCATAGTAAAGCCCCAGAGTAGCTAATACTTTTTTTCAAAAAATTGGTTTTAGGCTTAGGAATATGGAAATTAACAGCATTACTTCGCAAATTATGAAATTCATTGTTACTAATTTCAAAAATATCTGTCATAGGCTCATTAAGATTATTGTTTTTCACATTATACATGAACGTTGCCTTTTTGAATTTCATTCGTTCTGCCAATGGCCGCCAACCAAGTTCTGATAAAATCTCACACGATCTAATCTCATACGATTTGCCTGAAATGACCCTTGCAGCCCTGTCCTGTAATTTTTGTAAATTTTCAATTAGATAATTACTGCATGTATCCCAGACAAGGCTACAATATTCGAAACGAGGCAGAATTAGGGCATTGTAGACATGCATTAAAGTAAATTTCGGTACGTAAGGTTTCATTCGTCTCAACATATCGATTCCTTTTGAAACCTTGGCAATTGTAGCGTCGACATGATTTTTCCAAAGAAGCTGGTCATCTACCACAACCCCCATGGTTTTTATTTCACTTACTCTGTTAACTTCTGTATCGCCTAATCTAATTGTAGGAGTTTGGATATCATTTAAACGTTGTCTAGAGCCTATCAACATATATTCAGTTTTTTCGATATTTAGAGTTAATTTATTGGCAAGCAACCACCGGTGAACTTTGTCTAGATCCTCATTCAATTGACTTTGAACATCTTCGGCATGCAGATATACCACTAGTTGTTAAATTTGCATCATCGGCAAACAGACTTGCGTTCGAGAAAGATAGACAGTTAGAAAGGTCATTTACATAAATAAGAAAAATTAATGGGCCCAAGTTAGACCCCTGAGGAACTCAACAAATAATAACAGCCGGGGAGGACACTGTTTGAGCAATTTTACACATTTGAGTAATTGAGTACGATTTGTAAGATAAGATCGAAACCAATCTAATGTCAGTCCATTGCATCCGTAAAGAATTAACTTTTTTAACAAAATTTCATGGTCTACGCAGTCAAAAGCTTTCTTTAAATCAAGGAATATTACCCCGTTTAAATATCCTCGATCCATGTTTATCAACCATTTATTAGTTACATCCAGCATTGCTGTTTCCGTTGAAACTTTTTTCCTGAAACCAGATTGCTGGGAGGCAAGTATTGCATTATTTTCCAAATACTCATACAATTGCACTGATATATTAGGCCCCGTTTACATGAGACCGGAACGAAGTCAAACCGGGACCATCTCGTTTCGGTCATATATAGTATGATCTATAATAGATGTTTACATGAGACCGGGACGAAAATAACTCAGACTGGTCTCAAGTCATTCCGCCTTCTGGACCGAACCGACTGACTTCAGACCGGCATGAATTCAGACCGGGATGAATGTAAACACAAATACATTTCAGACCGGTCTCGGCTGTAATCTTGACATTGGAACAACACATGCTAGCAAAAGCCATCTGAAAAAGAAAATTGCCTGGCAAGGGGAATAAATCGAAGATTTTGTAATCCTCGTACCGGTCTCATGTAACATGTTGACAATTTCAATTTTCATTCCGGTTTGACTTCGTCCCGGCCTCATGTAAACGGGCGGGGCCTTAGTTTCTCGAATATTTTGGCAACAGTTGACAGAACTGAAATAGGTCTATAGTTGCTACATTCTGTCTTGCTTCCACTTTTATATAATGGAGATATTATTGCAGTTTTTAAACCATTTGGAAAAATACCTGTATTAATTGACTGGTTAAAAATATGAGTTAAAATTGGAGCAATAACTGCTGCCGAATCTTGCAAAAGCTTTGGTGGTACTTTATCATGTCCGCGAGCTTTGGATATCTTTAATGTAATGAGCAACTGAAATACATCTACCTCAGACACATTTTGTATTTGAAAAGTTTAAATACTAGGAGTAACATATGATTCAGGTGCATCGGTAGTATCTGGTAGTTCGTTAGCTAAATTTTCTCCAATTCTCTTGAAATATAGGTATTAAAAGTGTGTGATATCTTATTTGGATCTTCAGTAACATTATCATTTGATATGTTAAGCTTGGTGAACGTAGTTGTCTTAGATTTTTTATTTGTTAATTTATTAATTGTGTTCCACATATTCTTTGGATTATTTTTCGTATCATTTAGAACACTCGTATAATAATTCCTTTTTGTGTCTTTAATAAGTTTATTCAGCGCATTTCGGGCTCTTTTATCTGCGATAAACATATTTTCAGATCATGTGTTAATTGCTTTTTTCTTAAGAAAATCTCGATGATAAATCTGTTTCTTAATATTGTTTGTCATCCAAGGAGTGTACTCGCTTTTAACCTTTCTCGTAATTTGAGGTGCATGAATGTCGGCAACAAACAAAAGTCTTGTTTTAAAATCTTCCCAGAGTGCATCTGGGTTGTTATAATTTATCGTATGTTGCAGAATATCCCAAAGCTCTGTAAGAAACGAATTTTTATCATAATGTTTAAATTGGCGCGAGCGGATAATTTTTGGTTCATTCCGTGGAATGGATATTTTTCGACATATACGTAGATTAAACTGTGGTCACTTATGCCAAGGTGATCTACACCCGACATCGTGATGGGTTCTGGTTTGTTACATAATGCAAGATCAATCAGTATCCTAGAGGCTGCCGTTACCCGAGTGGGTTCCTTAATCATTTGCTCAAATTGATAAGTACTCGCTAGAGTAGCCATTCTAACCGTATGAGAGGCGGCATCATTATTGGATAACTTGCTCCAATCACAATTAAAGTCCCCCATAAGAATAGTCTCTTTGTTCTCTAAGTCCATATTTATAATACATTCTTCATACCATTCAAAACATTCAATAGAAGCATCTGGTGGGCGATACCAAGTGTTAATTAACAAAGAATGATTTTGCCTTTGGAGGACAGATCTCAATCGTGATTGTTTCAAGATTTTCATTCATTAAATTAAATCATTTCTTATTTTGTAATCAATTACATTTCTGATATATAATGCTACCCCACCACCATTTTGGTTTCTATCTTTTCTAACTATATCATAGCCACTTATGTTAATTTCATAATTAGATATGGTACTGTCAAGCATAGTTTCGTTTATACTTAGTATGTTATACTTTTGATTAGATAAATAAATTCGTAACTGGTCTATGTTTTTGACTAAGATTCTTATATTTAGGTGGCCAATTTTAAAGCCTCTCATTTTCATAACTGGGTTATTTGCATTTGATTTAATTTGATTTGTATTATTTGGGGCAAAATTTTTGTAAGATCTCTATATAAATGGCAGAAACGGTGTTTCATAACTGGGTTATTTGCATTAGATTTAAATTTGATTTGTATTATTTGGGGCAAAATTTTTGTAAAATCTCTATATAAATGGCAGAAACGGTGTCCGATATAGGGCATAGCCAGAAAGACAGGAAGATCCAAGTTTATATAAGTTATGTAACTGTTTGCAAACGTTCTCTCATGTAATATACAGTACAGTATAGCATGGGCAATATAGTACCTATGAAAAGCCGTAAATTCTGAAGTCTATAGTCCGCCAAAAGTCTGAAGTGTGAAGTTTCGGCCTGAAACTGAGAACTCTCTCTATCGGCGTGGTTTCCGTAGTTAATATGGCTTTTTGTACCCATAATAATGAAGTTTTTATTAAGTAGTAATTGGCTATTCGCTGTTGCGGTCACCCAGCCGTGGTCATGTACCTACTGTATTTCATTATGTACGTTTGTTTTTGTCCTGTCATGTAATGTACTGTTTCATCGGCAAAGTTTATAAATTAAAAAAATTTAAAAAAAAATTAAAAATTAAATTAAAAGTTTAATTAAAGTCAATTTAACCTTAAACTGCTATTAGCAAAATGATTTTGAAGAAATTGATAAAATAATCTTCAACAAATCTAAAATCTGAAATTCTAAGTATGAAGTCCCAACCCAAAACTAAATTACATGCAATTTGATCATTTATTCCTTCAACTCTCATCGAACTTCTCCTACAGACTCACGTTTATTTCTACTGAGTTACGAACGCTCACAAAAATTAAACACGAGGCTTAAGGTGGAGTTACACGAGCAACAAAATTGCTGCAACTTGCAACAAAATCTGATTTCAATGCATGTTAATTGAAAATGTTTACACATAAATTACAAATTGCAACATGTGTCGACATTTCTACTTAACATGCGTTGAAATCAGATTTTGTTGCAAGTTGCAGCGAATTTGTTGCTCGTGTAACTCCAGCTTTATACCCATGCATGCTTGCAATTTTTGTTTTATGTATCTCGCAGATCCCAGTTTCTGGAGATTTACTGAATAAGTATCAAACTAGTTATGGAAGAAAATTAAAGAATTCAGATGAAAACAGTGAGAATGGAAGTGATGTATCTTTGTCAAAGGAAGAGATCCGCGCTAAGATTGTGGAAGAAATTGTCAGTACAGAACGAGATTATGTTCAAAATCTTAAAGACATTGTCGAGGTAGATTTATACATATTAGTCATGGTCATGTTTGATATTGATAATTAGATAGCAATAAAAACTTCCAGTCTTCATTCCTGGAAAACTAGAAAACAGTGTTGCTCCTGTGTTTTCCGAAGATAGGAAAAACAGGTACTATAACCACATTGTTCCCACAAGAAAATCACATTGTCTTGTTGGGACTATATTTTTAAGGGCGGACAAACGGCAAAACATTAAATAGCGTTCTGGGAATAACACAACATTGTTCCTAGGGTCTTCCCTCTTGTGGAGGTTATGGAGAGAGTCTGGGAATGACAGATAAAAATGGGAATGAGAAAACCATATACCATTATAAGACAGAGTTAAATAAGTTTACGAAAAGCTACCGAGCAACGTTTGATTGAAACTGATGTGTCTAAAAAGTCCAGGAACATTGCATTTTACCTTTTCATGGCTCGATTCATTTTCCATTAAGTCTTCAATTGCAGAAAATGAAAGGTATTTATAGACTTCGAACTTTTCATTCGGTGTAGTCTGAAGTCCGAAGAGATAAATGCATCAATGTACAGTAAATAAGTGTCGTCTTTTTTAATTATGTGGCGGAGGCGGAACAACGCAATATCTATTATTTACCTGTCCTATTGTTTTGCCACGAAATGGGCGGTAAATGGTAATAGGACAAAAGGATCGAGAGTTGATGAAAGGGATTATTAGGGATCTTGCCAGTCAATATCCCCTGATATTTTTTTCAGTTACATTAAACCGGTTGTATATTTTCTTTTTCAGGGTTACCTCAAACAAGCAAAGAAAAGACCAGACATGTTTAATGATAGACTACTGGCAATAATATTTTCAAACGTTGAAAAGATTTATCACTTTCACCTGGATTTCTTACGTTGTATTGAACGCCAATATAATCAAGCATGGAAGGACGTTTCTAGTGTTGGAGAAGTTGGTGCAGTCTTTGTACAAAACGTAAGTAGTTTCTCCAGTCATCAGTAATTTCGTAAACGGAGCGCAGATCATTATCAATTCTGGCTAGCTTGACTGCACAATAAATAATTGCCATATAGAATTTTGTCACAGTGAACCGAAATCTAATATCTATTTGAGAAATATGACCCATTTAAACAATTTGGTAGGTATTTCAGAACCCTTGCATGCACCTCTGCATTCAAAATCGACAATCGTGTTTGACAAATAATTCCAAACTGTAAAAAAGAACAACATTTTAGACTATTCCAAGCCTGGTTTGTAGTTTACTTGCAACATGGCAGCCAGCAATAACGGAAATTGTGTGGCGGGGACTGGAGAGGAGAGGCAACTACCCAAGCTTATCATTATTTTTGCGCTTACTGCATGTACGTATTTGCAGACTATGCTGCATATACTTCATTCCACTTCTTTGTTCATTATTTTATGTTTGCGCTCACGTCGCTGCAATTTTCGCTTTCGTAAACGGTCGTTACCATCCGAAACTGGCGTTACCATCCCGAGTCTTATAGAATTCTGGGTAAGCAGAGCAAAATTCTTCGTTGTCCCATGCTGTCCCGCATGTCACATTTATTTTTAGCGTATTGTGAATATTAGAGGAAAATATTACTATAAAAGTAATATAAATATTACTGGTCGCTACCGACAACCAGGCTTAATTAATAAAGCAATAGCTATTACAATATGGTTACTAATTGACTAACCGTGCATGGTATGGGTAGTAACAAAAAGACGCTCCATGCAGGATGTACAGTATATATATGTAGTTTATACATATGCTCTTTCATATATAATAAATAATAAAAACTATACATTGATTCATCGTATGTGTTATCCAGTTGCAGAAAATCCTCCATTCTGTTATTTCAGAAAGAAAAATTCGAGTTATATTCTGAATATTGCAACAACCACCCACGAGCTTCTTCTGATCTAAAACACCTACTACAACAGGACAAATATCGATATTTCTTTGAAGCATGTCGAATGTTACACGACATGATTAAGATTTCTTTGGATGGTTTTCTTCTAACGCCTGTTCAGAAAATTTGCAAATATCCTTTACAACTACAGGTAGGTGTCGGTGTTTCAGTTGTACTGTTGGAACCAGCTCAAATGCAAAATAGATTGCAATTATGATAGCCAACATAGTCTAGCTATCACACAGGCAATGTACATGCATGTATGGGTAGGGTTCCAATCGTTGACAATTATTATTTTTATCTCAGGAACTTCTAAAGTACACAAATCCAGAACACAGCGATTATGACAATGTAAAGGATGCGTTGGAAGCTATGCGTGAAGTAGCCTCCAGTATCAATGAAAAGAAGAGACAAGTGGAAAATATAAAGAAGATTGCTGAATGGCAACTTGCAATTGAACAATGGGAGGTTAGTACATGTACACTGCATATAATTAATAATAGATCATTTCTTCTCTCCTGCAATGGACCATTTGCATTATAGACTAAATTTTGATCTAGATAAAAATTTCATCACAGCTTGAAAGAGCATCACAAAATTAGTAATATTCCAAAGTTTCGTTGCGAATTGTTGTAAAATGCGGATAATATATAGCCTTGCGAAGTTTGCCGTTTTTCACTCATTTTGTATTATGCATGGGAAATTGACAGCCCAATCGGGTGTTGGGGCATCAATTTCCCGTTTGTAATACAAAATGACTGAAAATTGCAAATTTCGCAAGGCTACTTAACAGTTATTCTACGAACTCGAGTCGAATATGAGCTGATAGCCGATGAGGCGCGTAGCGCCGAATCGGCTATCGCTCATATTCAACGAGAGTGAGTGGAATAACTGTTTTATTATATACACAAGGTCTGAATTCACAGACTTTGCTTTTCGAATATTTTCAATATTTTTCTATTCTGTTTATGTTTTTATCTTCGCTCTTTCGGCCGATTATTTTTTCAAAAATATATATTTTTAACCATTTTAAATATTAAAAATTTATTTGCTAATCTTAAAACAATTTGTGGGAGTTTTTTCATTGTGTTTTTAATCCTGTGAAGGCTATAAAAAGCGACAACTTGCCGTTTTCTCGTTTGCAAAACATCGTAAATTCAGTTTGGCCGCCATTTTGTTTTTCTCTACTAGCAGGATATGAGCTAATATCCTGCTAGTAGAGAACCAATCAGATTGCAGAATACTTCATATCCAGACCTTGTGTATATAATAAAGTATATTATCCGCATTTTACAACATTTCGCAACGAAACTTTGGTATATTACTAATTTTGTGATGCTCTTTCAAGCTGTGATGAAATTTTTGTCTAGATCAAAATTTAGTCTATAATGCATATGGTCCATTGTCCTTGTTTAAAAAAAATTTTTGTAATCTATTCTGTTCTTTTTGTCTCTTATCTGCATGGCTTTGTCTTCATTTGTGTGTCGCACAAGCTTGGAATTACATGCATGAATGTTGTGAATGTTGATGTTTTACTTATATATATACTCACTGTCAGATGTTTTCCGTTTAATTTTTAAGTCTTTGATGTTAAATATAAATTAAATGTGTTCGTTTATTGTATTAAAAGGGTGAAGATGTGCTGATCAAAAGTAGCCAACTAGTCCATTCCGGGGAAGTTGTGAAGTTGTCTAAAGGAAAAGCACAAGATGTCACATTGTTTCTATTTGATCATCAACTTGTTTATTGTAGAAAGGTAATACTGATGGAATTTATATACGACCTCTCGAGTAATGTCGATTCAAAACTACAAAACTTTGGAGATTACTAAAGGACAATTTGTGGAATAAATTGAGTTTAGGTTCTTCCAGTTGGAAAGAATTCTTAATGGTGAAGTGGACGGTTTTTACACCATTTTCTTGTTTAAGTACTATTTAAAAAACGAGCAGGAGTGTTTTTAGGTTTAAAGCCACGAGCGCGCAGCGCGAGTGGCTTTAGACCTAATAAAACACGACCCGCGAGTTTTTTAAATGACTTCAAAAACGTATGCATAATAAGTCAAATCTTTATATAAAAATCTTTATATAAAAACCTTTATATAAAAATCTTTATATAAAAATCTTTGTATAGTTTGCATAACAATGGTCTTTTGTTAAAGTGTTCTTTAGCTGGTATAAAGACGTATGCACGTGACTAATTTCTTACTCAAGATTGGATAATTGCTTCATGAATTATTAATGAGTTTTTGAAGTATATATAATTATTTCTTGTAACAGGATTTGATAAAGAAACGTTCATTGGAATATAAAGGACGAATTGTACTGGAAAATTATAAGTTTGAAAAACTTGAAGATGGAGAAGGTACTGATAAACATACATGTATGAATATATTATATCTACATGTATCTATCTATATGAATATATAATATATTATATCTATCTGATATTATATCGAGTATCAGATGTTTGGACATTTACAATGCCAATGGCCAACGAATAATCCTAATGCCACTGCATGCATGTAGTTCTTCAAATTAAATAATTCCTATCATATAACTATATATGTTTTTCAGTGTCTCAAAATGGCGTAGTAGTGAAAAACGCGTGGAGATTATCGAGCAAACAGAACAATACAAGCTGTTTATTTCAAGCAAAGTCATCAGAACAAAGAGATAAATGGATTGGATACTTTCTTCAAGAGAGGAAAATTGTCTACGAAACGACGTCAGGTATACAGTATACATATACATGCAGTCTATATACAAACAGTGTATGCCGTGCTGTTGTTTTGCCCGTTTATGACTGTGTAACTTATACTTTCTCACATTATTAAGATGTCCTACTTACAGTATATAGATTGTAATAAATGTAGCCTATATATATTTGTAAATTATGGATTCTATTTTGAGATAATAGAATGATAGAAATGGTTTGGAGAAGCTCGTATTCTAAAATTTTGATGAACGCCAAAAACTGCATGTATTTGAATTTAATAGATTTAAACTATTGCAAAAGGTTAATTTGTTCAAAGCGATATATTTTGATCCTTATATTTTGATGGAAATAATGGTCAATCTAGTTTGGTGGAGAATTAGTTTCAGGCCATGTAACTATCGCCGTTCAGGTCTGCTTTCAAATTGTCAATCAGTGGAAATTGCTAGCTTTTCTGTGTCTATATCATAAAGATACCTGATGACCCATTTATTGTACATTTAGCTAACAGTATCCCTCTTGAAGAACGTCTGGCAGCAATAGATGAAGCAAAAAATGCTATGAAAAGTAGAAAACAAATCAGTAAGTATATCGTGTTTCTGTGATCGACCATCTTTGTAGAACAGAAATATACTATTGTTGTAGCAAGACCGTGGTTCAGATAATAAGATTCTTGTAATTATCCTGTCCCATCGCATTATCAAGCAACCTAAAACAGCTCGAACCGACAATTTTCATAATTAGATAAAGGCACTTTTCAGTCCTTTTGTCCTGTACCTGAAAAACAACCTCCCTACGCCATGGCTATCCAACGTATCCGCATTTACTTTTATAACATTAAATTTAACATTATCGATGAATAACTTCCCTCTAGGTCGGATTTCTTTTCCCGGCTTTCCCTTTCATGCTTCTGCAGTGGTGTTTATAGTATTTACAACATGCACGCGTCTTATATTTTAAGATTTAATTCATTTTACCTTTTATAGTTTTACTACCATGCATACATGCATGCATATATATGAATGCCAGCCGATTTCACCTTAATTAAACTAATATATAACCCAAACTCTTTACTATCAGCCATGGTGTTTGCTTTTCCTATTAATTTTTTTATTCACCAACAATATAAAGTATTTACAGTGCATGTATCCATTTTCACCATGATATTAATTTAGTACATATGCATGTCCTCCACCTGCGACTAAAATCTGTTTTATAATTTCACCTTATTTCGCCTCAGTCGCAGGCGAGAAGAGGTTTTTTCAGGTTGACTCTATCAAACAGCAAACACAGGTTTTATTTGGGAACTCGGCTTTCCTCCTCTGCATGTATTAATAGTAAAACTGTGCCGGCAATAAGGTATGTCATGGACCCTAAATAGCGGAGTTTGAAACTGGTATAGAGCTTAGAAATATATAGGTTAGTTTAGTTTTTGTTGACAGTTAACACATGATGTATAAAACAATAAATCATCAGTGGTATTGTATTTTTCCAGTTAAAGGTGAAAAGAAATATGGCAACTTTAATACAGTGAGTCGAGCAATAGGACAATTACATTACGGAAGTGAAATTCACCATCGTAAGATCGATCTACCTCCACCTGTATCTAGTGCCATGTTGTTTCAGAGAGATCAAGCGAGATCATCTTTTCTGAGACATTCTGGCGTGTTCAAGAAACGACGGCCCAAACCAAGACACCGATCTCAGCCTAGATGATAATTAGCTGCATATATAATAACTCCTTCTTTGTACGTTTTCATGGCAATCTTTAGCCAAATTAATTTCCGTCTAATACTAGAAACTTGCATGTCTGACGGATTCAATCCGATTCAACGAAAGCAATCCGACGAATGAGCCTGAAAATTCGCGAAACCTGTTTTTTTACATCTCCAGCTAAAATTCGTCTTGATTTATTCGTCTGCATAGTCGAGCGTCTGCTTTCCCGTTTCAGTCAGGAAACTCGTCTGTAACTACTTATGCCGTCGTTTGGACAGGAAAGTTATAGTAAGACGGTAATTAATACATATATAGTGTTTCTTTACAAAATAAATATAATCGCGGTTAATTCTACAGATACAAAGTAATTGCCGAGCAAGTCAGAATAAAAAAATTATACCCTATATAAAGAGTCGTATAAGTGATAGCAGCAGGTAACTGCGTATATATCATCGACATCGTTAAAATGCCTTCATAAAAATAAAAAAAACATTCGTATATGCTGCAGTTTTTTCAGTATGGAATTTCCATCAATATATTCATTTTATTTATATTGTCGAGAAACTTACCTAAAAGTCGTTCTAAAAATTGAATTGTTGGAACTAATAATGAGTAATGTGTCAAGATTTTATTGATACGTTTTACATATATTTAATATACATTGTATATATAACTTAGTATTTTTATATTATTAAATGCATTCATGCATGTTATTGAATCAGTTGTGTTGTGGCAATCATCCAACTGAATCCTGTGCAATATTTTTCTAGTTACAGATTATGGTATCCAATTGTAAATTAAAGGTTGTTCAAGCAGCAATAATAATCTTCTTGAACTACCAGATCTTCTCGACAGCTTTTGAGTTTGATCTTTAAACTGGAGTTTGAACTTTCGTTTTAAACCGAGTGATTTATGTCAAAACTGTACATCGAAATCAGGATGCCTTCATCCTGTCCCGGAAACCAGGATCATGCATAAAGAGCCCCTTACAACGAAACGAGCAGAAAATCTATGACCATGCAATAACGCTTATTGTTATATAGTTAGTGTCAAAGTTCAATTTTTCTGTTTCCCGATTGGTCAAAACCGTGTCACGTGCCGGTCCACAAAACGCCATGTTCGGCAACCGGTCCGCAATCAAACATTTGTTGACCGGTCAATAATAAAATGGGTGCAATACGCATGCGTGTCAACCATCAAGTTCCAAAGTTCATTTTTAAAACTTTTTACTAAATATTTACGGCGTTCCATTTATATATCCAGTTTTGGTTTCAAATTAAGTTCACTCCAATAACCGGTGAATTATTCATACTTTGACACTTATATACTATATAACAAAACACTTATTTAATGAGACCTCGGGAAAGCAGTGTGTTTTGTGGCCCCTCGACCGCCGTTGTTGCCCTCGGCTTCGCATCGGGCAACAACGGCGGTCTCGGGCCCACAAAACACACTGTTTCCCTCGGTCTCAGTAAATAAGTGATAAATATTATTTTCAGTAATAGTAGTTTAGGTCTAACTTCGCAACGAAGGGCATTCGCTCGAAACGTCGACGTTCACTTGTATTTTTCAGGTAGTTCAATCCCACTCAACCAGCAGCTTTCAAATGAGATTTTCTTTGTTACAAAGGTTTCACAACGGCTCATTAATTTGTTGTATATACACGGGAATTTGCGGACACGTCTTGTGATGGATTATCTTGTGCTGATGGTGGAGGCATGGTATAGGGAACTTCGTGGTTCTCACAAATTTCATCTACTATAGCCATGCTTCCTCCTGCTCCTTGCTGCTAAGTGCATTCTGTTTCGCCTGTAAAATTTGTCTTCAAACAACTTCATATAATTGGGTTATTGGGATGCGATCAACTTTCTCGTTGTACGCTTCTCTTCTCCATTTCTTGTGAGGGTTTGCGATAAACAAGAATCTCGACTAGGCAGGATTCTTGCTTCCCGCTTGTGCCTTCTTCAAAATTTCCTTGCTTGTTTTTACCGAGTCCTCCACCTCATCATCGTTGTTGCACGTTTCATCTCCGCTATCCCTATTGCACTATTGATAAATTATACGAAAATACAAGGAGCTCAATCACCGCAACCGTGCACAAATTAACATAAACTAAGTAAAAGCAGAGTATCGATCAGCACATGACTCTGACAAAAAAATTGAAATACTAGCACATGTCTCTGACAAAGAATTGAAACACCAGCACATGTCGCTGATAAAGAATTGAAATACCAGCGCATGTCTCTGACAAAGAATTGAAATACCAGCGCATGTCTCTGACAAAGAATTGAAACACCAGCGCATGTCTCTGACAAAAAATTGAAATACCATGAGCACATGTCGCTGACAAAGAATTAAAATACCAGCACATGTCTATGACAAAGAATTTAAATACCAGCACATGTCCATGACAAAAATTGAAATACCAGCACATGCCTATGACAAAGAATTTAAATACCAGCACATGTCTCTGACAAACAATTGAAATACCAGCACACGTCTATGACAAAAATTGAAATACCAGCACATGTCTATGACAAAAAATTGAAATACCAGCACATATCGCTGACAAAGAATTGAAATACCAGCACATGTTTATGACAAAGAATTGAAATACCAGCACATGTCTCCGACAAAGAATTGAAATACCAGCCCATGTCTATGACAAAAATTGAAATACCAGCACACGTCTCTCACAAAGAATTGAAATAACTGCGCATGTCTCTGACAAAGAATTGAAATACCAGCACATGTCTATGACAAAAATTGAAATGCCAGCACATGTCTACGACAAAAAATTGAAATACCAGCACATATCGCTGACAAAGAATTGAAATACCAGCACATGTTTATGACAAAGAATTTAAATACCAGCACATGTCTCCGACAAAGAATTGAAATACCAGCACATGTCTATGACAAAAATTGAAATACCAGCACAAGTCTCTGACAAAGAATTGAAATACCTATGACCATGTCTATGACCAAAAATTGAAATACCAGCACATGTCTCTGACATAGAATTGAAATAACAGCGCATGTCTCTGACAAAGAATTGAAATACCAGCACATGTCTCTGACAAAGAATTGAAATACCAGCGCATGTCTATGACCAAAAATTGAAATACCAGCACATGTCTCTGACAAAGAATTGAAATAACAGCGCATGTCTCTGACAAAGAATTGAAATACCAGCGCATGTCTATGACCAAAAATTGAAATACCAGCACATGTCTCTGACAAAGAATTGAAATAACAGCGCATGTCTCTGACAAAGAATTGAAATACTAGCACATGTCTCTGACAAAGAATTGAAATACCAGCACATGTCTATGACAAAAATTGAAATACCAGCACATGTCTCTGACAAAGAATTGAAATACCAGCACATGTCTCTGACAAAGAATTGAAATACCAGCGCATGTCTATGACCAAAAATTGAAATACCAGCACATGTCTCTGACAAAGAATTGAAATAACAGCGCATGTCTCTGACAAAGAATTGAAATACTAGCACATGTCTCTGACAAAGAATTGAAATACCAGCACATGTCTATGACAAAAATTGAAATACCAGCACATGTCTCTGACAAAGAATTGAAATACCAGCACATGTCTCTGACAAAGAATTGAAATACCAGCGCATGTCTATGACCAAAAATTGAAATACCAGCACATGTTTAAAATTATCTAGTTTACATTTTGTGGGTGGCTTTGTTAGGATATCAGCTACCATATCTTGGGTAGGACAATATACAATATCGATCATGCCTTTAACATACATTTCACGTACAAAGTGGTACTTTATGTCAATATGCTTAGAACGTTGTCTGTTACCTGGGTTCTTACTTAGTGCAATTGCCCCTTGGTTATCAACACTTACCTTCATACTCTGATGTACTTTCTTATACATACCGTTTAACAATTGAGTTAGATACAAACACTCTTGAGCTGTATTTGCTAAAGCTACATATTCAGCTTCGCAAGAGGAAATGGCAACCGTTGGTTGCTTTCTCGACTTCCATGAAATCAGTGGTCCTCCTTCAGTTAGAGTACAACAGTAACCTGTAGTACTTCGCCTGTCTTCCAGGCAAGAGGCCCAATCTGAATCACTATAAGCAGTGAGCTGCAAGTCAGCATCAGATTTCTGAGTTCATAATCCACGGTACCCTTTAGATACCTTAGGACATGTTTGGCAGCAATTAAATCTCCCGTTCTGGGGTTTGACAGAGTTTGAGACAGTCTGCTTACAATCCAACTTAAATCAGGCCTTATACAGGTCATGGCATAAATTAGGCTTCCTATCAT